GATTTCCAAGCTCTTCCCACTCTCCAAGCCACACCCTTGCTGTCCCGTAGACGAAGGTCTCTCCCATGAGGCCTTGGGGTGGGTGGTTACCATTTGTACCACTGGGGCATCTTTAGGTTCAGTCTCAGAGGGACAAGTGGGGCCAATGCAAGGTGGCACCAGGGTCACTCAGTCTGCATGCATAAACATCAAAGGTTCCTTATAGGAATCTAATGTCTGATGATCTAAGGTGCAGCTGAGGAGATGATGCTAGTGCTGGGGAGTAGCTGCAAACACAGACTCACAACAACGAAGAGGCCTGATCACATGATGAAATATAATGCACTTGGAGCACCCTGAAACTGTCCTTCCCCTCCTTTACGTGGAAAAATTATCTTCCACAAAACCTGTCTCTGGTGTGCCCAAAACAGTTAGGGACTGCTGTCTAAGTGTTAATATGTAGATGGAAGAGGGTCTGAAGCATTGAGGTCTCTTGCCCAGGGGACAATATGGCAGGCTTTTGTCTTTGATGGGGTACTGTTACCATCTTTGAATGTTTGCCCATTGATACTGTGAGAGACTGAAATATCCCACCCAGAATATACATCATTGGCGTAATTCTAGTTGGTTATCAGGGACTCTGCAGCCTTCTGCAAACAAAGAAATCGCTGTGAGTCATGGTCCTCTTGCAAAGAAAAGCTACACTTCTCCATGGTACAAGAGTCATAGGCAGAAGCTTCTCTAAACACCCCTGTTCTGCAAAGAGAGACCTCCCAGGAAGAGGTCAGGGGTCTGACACTTGCCCATACAGAGATGGCTGCAGAGGTTTGTTGCTGGGAGATCTTGTCAGCATTAATCACAAGCACCTCTTCCCTGGTCCTTCCAAGAAGATATATGCAAGCCTTCAGGTTACGATGAGTTCTGAGCATTTACTTTCCTTCCTCTGATTCTCCAGTGTGATGATAAATTTTTGTCTCAGCATCTTCTGTCAATTTGCCTATCATCAGTATATGTCTGAGGCTTAGGTATCAGACATGCAGAAGGTGAGGGAGATGCTCTCAGGAGGGTAGACTTCTGTGAAACCATTCCACAGACAAGACCCAGGCAGCTGGGCTCTGGGCTTTGTGAGCTTCACGCTCAGAGAGCTGAGAACAGAGGGCTCCTGATTCCCTGCCTCATACTCTTGAGGAGCCCTCACCCATAGCACAGGGGGGAATTTGGGGCTTGCAGGTCATGGAGCTCAGGTGAGGTGTGGGGTGATGCTCCGTCCCCTGGAAGATGGTGGCTCTCAGAGGCAAGGGCTCCCATGAAACTGCTGGAGCTGCAGGCAGTGCAGCAAAGGCTGAATGAATCCTGGGGCTGGGCCACTTTGGGTCACATCAGGGAAGTGACACGGGTACAAGGATGTCAAACAATGGACCTCTTAGACTGGCGGTGAGTGGAAGAGGTGGGATTTGAACCCAGGTATGTGGCTCCGAAGCAGGACCCCCAGCCACCACACCATGGGGCTGAGAGGAAGCTCCTGAAGCCCACTGGGACTGTGGAGGAGCTCCTAGTGGCCATCTACTCTGCCTGTGCTGAAGGCGCCTGTTTGCCATCAGGGCCTGGGGGACAGCTTGGAGAACAGACCTTGAGAGGGACTGGCTGGGGCTCCCTCCCTGGTCCCCGCCCAACACTGCACACACGTATGTGCACATGCACAGACAGTAGCTCACAGAGCAGTCAAGGACAAAGAGCATCCCAGGGAAAGCGTCCTCCAGCTGAGGACACAGACCCCAAGGACCCCATGGCGATGACACAGCCACTTTCCATTCATTGTTCATGGTCTCAGAACCTGGGGTGGCAGTCGCCCCAGCACTTGGCCAGGCCATGGTCAGTAGGGCTGGTCGCAGCAGCCAGAGAGAGCGGGGAAAGGGACCAAGAGTGAAAGACCAAGTGTAAGAGGAAAAGGAGGAGGAGGAGGAGGAGGAGGAGGAGGCAGGGAGACACAGGGACAGGAGATGGAGACATGGAGATCAGAAGGACAGAAGGACAGAGAAACCACCATGGGGGCAGAGGTGAGGAGGCATAAGGAAGAGAGAAGTCACAAAGGGCACAGGTCCACAGGAGGAGCCCACACCCCACAGGAGAGCAGAGGGGACAGGCCAGGAGGGGCTGGGTGTCACAGGCTTGGAGAGTAGAAGGGTTGAACTGGGGCCAAGACAGGAGGTTGGGCAGCGGCTGGGAGACTGTGAGACAGGAAATGGGGTGTGGGGATGGAAGGGGGAAGAGTTAGCTATGCACAAGGAACAGGAAAGGGCAGGAGACGGAGATGTCAGAGACACAAAGGGAGGGGACAGGTCTCATCCTGAGGACAGCGCAGAGCTCTGGTGGGTCCGAGCAGGCAGGTCTGTGGGCTTTGAGCCACAGGCAGAAAGAAGATGCTGGGTAGATCATGGAGTCCGGTGGCCCACACAAAAGAGAGCGCCGAGCTAGGTGGGAGTGGAGGGAGATCTGCAGAGTCTGAGATTGAGTAACGGGGAGAAGCTGGAACAGGAGCAGCGTCGTGAGCTGTGGCAGAGGTGGCCATTGGGGAGCAGATGGGCACCTCCTTCCCATGGGGCTCTGAGGCTTTCAGCATCTTCCTCACCCTCCCAGGGTGGGATGGTGCCCACCACTGTGGCTCTTTCCCAGGAGGCCAGTAAACTCCCCCCCCCCACCCCCCGCATGGTGGCACCCAATACTCGGTCTGGACAAATGCCACAGGCACAGAAGGCAGGCATAATCTCAGGTCACCTGGCCACACAGAGGTGGGACTGCATTGAGCTCGTGAAGCCAGAGGCAGCCTTACTGGATTGGCTGGGAGTGCTTTAGAATCCACTAAGGTTAGTCCTGTAACTAAAGGCAGGCCACATGGTCTCAGTCCTTACAAGAGACGGAACGAACACACTTCACCAGAGTAGGTATAATGCGGGATGAATCAGTCACCATGGAGGCAGCTGCACAGAGGAAATGACGATAGAACTGGGCTTTGAAGGATGAGCGGGAGTTTGTCGTTGCTGAGAACAAAGGGTAGAAGCACTGGAGGCCAAGGAAAGTGGCCAGAAAGCCTTGAAGTGGGAACATAACCTTGAGAACATGCCTTTATGTCTGTAGGTGTTTCTTCCTTCCCAATCTCATTATCCACTTGGGTGATCACCTTCCAGTTAAACCCTCTGCACCCAAACCTATCTCAGACTCTACTTTGTGAGGAGCCAAGAAAAGGGTTCTGTGGCTGGGGCCCGGGAAGGGGAGGTATTGTGCCAGCCAGCAGCCACACCCAGGGAGGGAGGTGCACACATTTCTGAATCTGTTCTTTAGGCTGAGCCCTCAGTGGGGTAAAGCGGGGGGGATTCACCTTTGCCTGTCCCTTCTGCCTGGGGCCCTGTGACAGAAAGGACGAGCCAGAAGCACATGAGCCATCAGAAGCATTTTCTCTCTGCCTTTGGAACCTGTCACATGGGTTGGGGGCAGCAGATTGATATTCCTAATTACATTTGGCTCAAGCTGATATGAGGTATTTGTCTCATCCCCGGATGCCACAGTAACAGTGGAGAGAGGGTAAGGTGCCAAGAGGTATGCTGGGTAGCCGAGGATGACAAGCTGGGAGATGACTGTGGACAAATTGAAGCTGTGACAGCAGGTGACTGGTGCTCCTGGGTTGCCCTTCGATGGCTTCCAAGGGGTCCCTAGGCCCGAAGTCCCCTGTCTGGAGGCTGAGCTACCCAAGGCAATCCCAATGCACGCTGAGAATCACTTCCAGCGCCGGATCCCCAGGTGACGAGAAATGCTTTTGAAGGTCCAGTTTGCATTTCTTCTAGGGCTGAAGGTTTGCTTTGCCTGATTTGTTTCCAGTGAGCCCACCGTAGGTACAGTGGTACACAGCAAGAGGAGGCACGTGCTTGTGCCCAGAGGGGAACAGGTCACTATCTGCACCCACATAAAGTGCGTGAACTTGCCAGCAGATGCTGGGCACTAAAGCTCACAGCACAGAACTGGAGGATACAGGTGGCAGGTGAAGAGACCGAGTTCCCAGAGGAAGAGGGTGCACTGGGGTGACACAGAAAATGGAGAGCAGGGCAAGAGGGCAATGAGGCCAGCCAGAGACATTTGCCTAGGAATTGCCCAGCAGAGAAGCTACCTGGGGCCTGGGCAGTACCAGCCACTCAAGAGATTTAGAAGTCACTGAGCCAGTTTCTGAGGATGAACAGTCGCCTCCAGCGTGGTGAGGCGCTAACAAGGCAGCAGGCGTGTGCTCGCTCTGGAGCTCACAGCTCCACACGCTGAGGGCTGAGTAAAACTTGGTTCCCTTCCTCGCTTTGTATCATTTCAGGCAAGTGCCCCCTCTCTCTGAATCTGTTTATCGGGCAGCAAAGTGGGGCGATGGTTCCTTCCTCACACTGAAGCAGGAAACCACTTGACTGCCACCAGCGCGCCGGGGCCTCCAGATGTGCGAACTTGTAGCCCTCTAACCCGCACTGCCCAGGCTTGGGAGGGGTCACAGCTTTTTCAGGACCCTACAGAGGGGGCCTCAGTCGGTGCGTGGGTCAGGATTTGCTTACCACCCTGACACACCTGCGTCCCAGGCGCAATGCATGCTCAGGGCTGCTGTGGACACACCTCAGATGGGGCCCGTCCAGCTTTTATGGCAAGGGCTCCTCGAGAGAGCTTGCGGCGCGGAGTGGCCGGAGAGGGTCGTGCGCCCCCCTCTCCTCCGCCCCCGCCCCGTCCGCGTCACCATCCGACCCGGCCCTGTTTCCTTCTGCTTGAAACCAAAGGGCGCTCCCCCAGGCCCTTCGGCCGCGGCGCGCCCGGGTTCTCCCCGCCACGCCCGACCCGGCGAGCCTGCAGGGGGCGAGCCCGCCCGCGCTCCCGCCCGACTTGGCAGCGTCCCCGCCCGCGCCAGCGGGGCGCCGGAGCCCTGTCGCCCCCACCTCGGCCCGGCAGGTGCCAGGACGGCCTCGCCGAGCCGCGCGCGTCCGGGCCCCGCGGGTTAGGGTGCGGCCGGGGCGCCGGCCCGGGCATCGCAGCGCCGGCCACGAGCGGGCGGGCGGCCGCGCTCCCGTCCGCCTCTCCCGCCCCGCCTTTGTGGCGAGTTCCCGGCCCCTTCCTCCCCGCCCCCAGCGGCCCGCTCCCGCTCCTTTCTTCCTGCCTCGCCTTCCTGCGGCGCGGAGCCTCATCCATTATAAATGCGCGGCCGCAGCTGACATCAGCGCCAGCGCGGCGGGCGCCCACGAGCGAGCGTTCTCGCGCGCAGCCCGCCGGCCCGGAGCGGCCCAGCCCGAGCGCGGGACCCCGGCCGCCGCCCCCGCACGCGCCAGCCCGGCCGACTTCCTGCATGACGGTCACCAAGGTAAGCGGCGGGCCGGGACCCGCGGGCGGCGGGGGCGCGGGGCGTAGGCGCGGGCGCGGGCGCGGGCCGGGAAGGGTGGTGCGCGCGGCGCTCGTTCCCTCCGCGCCCGGGCCGCTCGCCCTCGAGGCAGGGCGGGATGCGGCTCTGGGCTCTGGGCTCTGGCTCTGGCAGCCCTGCGGCTTGGACACCAGCCCTGGCCCTGGCCAGCGGGACTGCATTTTTAACCCTTGAGTGAGATGCTGCATATTCCGCCCCCACTCGCCCCGCCCGAGTTGTGTCCGGTGCACGCTCCGTGGGTCCATGCGTGGTGTGCACCGACTGCAGGGTCCGCCGCAGCAGGGGCTGGGCTGGACTGTGGCGTGGGCATGGAGCAGGCCCTCTGAGGAGGTCGAGCCCCACCTCACCTGCTGGCCTGGGGCACCAGCCCATAGTTCAAAACCACCCTGAGAAGAAACAACTGCCCTGTCTTTGATCGACTATCCGCGATGGATGGCGAGGCCAGTGGGCCAGCTCAGAGACCTCGCGGGGAGGAGTTGTGACAGAGACGGATCGGTGGGCATCTTTCCAGCCCCTTCTTAGAGGGCTCTTAAGACTTGCCACAGGGCCCCGCGCTCACTTGAGAACTCTGGGGGCTCCCCAGTTGCAGAGAGCATAGTTAAGAGAGGGGTGGGTGGGACAGTGGGAAGTACCCCGGTTTTGGGGACCAGGTAGTCCTGAGGTCATGTCTACCCCAAATCCCTTAGGTAACCCTTGAGGTAGTGGGGCTTCTACTTTGGGCCTCAGTTTCCTCTTGTTCCAGTGAAAATGATACCATGACTCCTGTGGGTGGTGACTGCAGTTGAAGGACCAATGAGATCAAGGGCGTGACCCTGCCCTGTGCAGAGGCCCTGGGAGCGCGGCTCACCACTCCCAGCCTGGCCTGGCTGTAGCACTGGGCTTGGCGTTGGCCTTGGCCTAGGCAGCTCTTGCACCCAGGCCAGCCTGCATTTTTCCCGGCTGCTCAGCTGGCTCTTGGGCTCTGAGTGGAGGCCAGAGTGGGCCAGGCAGCCTGCTGGGGCTGGAGCAGGGGGGGACAGATGGAGGGCAGGGTTGCAGGGGTCGCAGGGGGCTGGGGGGCTCAGGGCTGCCCATGCCCTTGTGCGATCTGTCACAGGCTGCTGGCTTCGTTGGGGTCCTCTGGCTCAACTCCACGCTTTGCCAGTGATCCTAGCACATGGTGGGAAGAGGAACTTGAAGATGAGGGGCACCCCCAATGCTGGCTGCTTTTGGGGTGACTGTTGTCATCCAGCGGGAGTGGGTTGCTTGGTGTTTTGAAATGATACAGATGCCATTCTGCTGAGAAGGATTGACATTATTGTATATTGTTATGGATTAAGAACTGGTGGTCAACGCCAACTGGATTACATCAGCATGGCACTGAGGGAAGATGCTCCACCTGAGGAAAGTTGCCAGGATAAATAGGTGGAGAAGAAGAGGGTTGAGGTGTTAAGGAGGCATTGTGGGTTCTCCTACGGGTTGGTTCTTCTGGAGAAGCTTTGGTCCTCTCATCGAGCATTGCTTCCTGGCTCCGGAGGGGAAGACATGTGCTGCCTGGTCTCCAGGATGAACTCGTCACGCTGCTTCCTGGCACGTACCCGACTGTGCTTGTTGTCGGAGGAGCTCCGGGCCTCCGTGTCGCTGAGGACAGCTGTGGTGCCTTTCAGGATAGCCCTGGTCTTTGTTGTGAGTGTGACTTCTCAGCTCCAGCATAGAACCCTCATCCCACAGCTCCTTCATCCTGCTGGCATAGACTTTCTAGCTTCCACAGCTGACCCTTGGGTCTTCCTGGCACGGATCCCTAAAAGAGACTGGCGTGAGTCCTTCTTGTGGGCTCTGAACCTCCAGCTGGACTCGTGGGAGGTGTTGTCCTGAGCGCTGGGTTTTTATCTGGACTCATGTGGGACATTGCCGTGGGGTTTAGGCTCTTGACTAAATAATCTATGTCTTTGGTGTTGTGTGGATAGATTTCCTGCATTTTCCTGTGTTAATTCCCGGTGACCATTATAAAAATATTATAAATTCCATGTCCTAATCCTAATTGTTTTCTGTGTACAACCCCGGACTACAACAGTTATTAATGCCAGAGTGTAGGCAGGTGGGACCGAAGAGCACAAGATGGCCTGGGATGGGGACAAGAAGGACGCAAGATGGATAACTGTGCTGCTCTTTATGTACTTGAGTCCATGCAGCCTTTCTTCTGGGAGGCCTGCAAGGAAAGTGCTCAGTCCCCTTTAGTGAAGGAAGAAGCTGAGGCTCAGAGAGGGGCAGTGACTTGCTAAAGGTCACACAGCAAGGAGGTGAGGGGCTTGGATTTACCCTCTGGGCTGTGTCGGTGTATGGCCAGTGACCCTCCTGTTACTGGCTATTGGGCCTGGCACCTCTCATAGTGGAGGGGCACTGCTTGGAGGCCTGGCCTCTAGCAGGAATGAGACACAGACAGCATGAGGGTGGGCACTTGGAGACAGCCTGGCAGAACTGGCCTCTTGGTGTCCACTAAGATCCCCCCTCTCCGTACCCAGCCTCCAGCAGGCCCCTCCATGTGGCTTAACCAGGGTGGCTCAGCTTAAGCCCCATCAGGGGATTAAGTCAAATCCCCGCCTTAACCCTTTCCTCCTCCCTGGCTGCCTTCACACACCAGCAGTGTTCTTGTAGGGCCCACAGGGAACAGGAGAAATGAGGCGGGACATAGGTGAGGACCTGGTGAGCGTTCTGCTCCTGCGGGTTTTCTCCTCCACGGGCCCAGGAGAGGCCACCGACCTGCATGCTGGACAGCTTGGTGTCTCATCCTCACTCTGCCAGTACCAGGCCGTGGACCTCGGAGCAGTCCCTGACATCGCTGGGCCTCCGAAGTTCCATCTGTGGAGTGCAGGGGGAGCCAGCTCAGGGGCTCCTTGGTGTCCGTGATGGTCTGGTGATCCCACAGACAGGAGGGGAACCCTAAAGGGAGAGTGGGAGATGGGGTCACTGTTGCAAATGGCAACAGAGGGAAGAGGACAGATGCAGGCTGTCCAGCCTCATGACATTTTTCCTGGGCTGCGTTGAATGATAGGAGTTGCTTTGAGCTACATATTAAATATGTACTATAGTCAATACAGATAAGTAGCAAAACCCCCTTTTAAAAAATACTTGTTATTATAACCTTAAAGAGGACTAGGCATGGTGGTGCATTCCTGTAACCCCAGCACTGGGAAGGCTGAAGCAGGATGATTGCCATGAGTTTGAGGCCAGCCTGAACTACACAATGAGACCCTGTCTGAGAAAACCAGAGCAAGGGGCTTGGAGGATGGCAGGACCGGACAACTCCATGGGCCTAGGAAATGGAGAAGAGGAAGCAGGCAGCAAGTCGCTGGGCCCTCAGATCACTTCCTGAGAGGACGTGAGCCTCAGTTTTCTGTCCAGCACTCTTCTTTCAAAGAACCCCAACCAGCAGTAGGGACACACCCACGTGGACCTGCATCATGACCTTCTCACCTGGTGGCATCTATCCTGGTTACAGTGTTTTAAATTCTGTGTTCTCTTATGCATTTGACTTAGCTACCTTTTATTCCTTTATGTAACAAGAAAAGGAATGATACCAAAAAAAAAAAAAAAAAAGTACTCACTGGGGAGAACCAGATGCAGGCCACGAATGTCCATCCATGGGAGGTCGGGGCCACTCCTCCACTCAGAGTCTGTCTAGCTTGCTTCCATAGCAAGGCAGGAACAAGCACTCATCTTCCTGCCTCAGCCTCCTGAGTGTTGAGATTACAGACTTGTGCCCCTGCTGGCCAGCACTTTTAAACATGTTTCTAAATTGCTTTAGCAAGGCAATTTAAGCAAAGAAGGAAACGTGTTAGGATTGCAGCCTGGAAATTGTGATGCAGGATTTCACGACCCCTTTTGCTGCTCAGGCTCCTTTGCATTGATTTCCTGGCTCAATGACTGTGCTGTGGCCAGAGGTGGGGGCTCTAGGGAAGCGAGGAAGTGGCTCACAGTGACCCCAGGGCTCCCCTGTTGTCAGGAGTGCTGTATTGAGTGAAGGGCTAGTGAACGGAGTGCCTTGCTGGTTTTTGCTCCAGCTGGGAGGGTCAGTTCCTGGAAGGGAGTCCCTGGAGAGGCAGGACTGGGGAGGAAGGGTGGGGGCAGAGAGTCCTGGCTTCCAGCATCTTCCTCCTCTGGAAACCAGTGAGTTCTCCAGTGACCAGTGAGTCTGGTCACTGTCCCTGCCCCTGTCTCCTGCCCCTGGCTGCTGCTGAAGATGGTGTGGCCCCATCCAGGTAGAAACAGCTATGTGGCAAAGCCCAGCTGTCTCTGGGGCACCTGTAGGCCTGCAGGGGCAGAGAATGTTGGAGAAGTCACAGGGCAGAGCAAGGGACCTGAGGTTCAGGTCAGAGGCTGTCACTTGCCTGTGGTCATCCAGTGAGGCTGGAGCCTGAGTCCCTCGTACTCCTGGTGCGTGCTCTTCCCAGCTGGCTGCCCTGTGAGGGAACGTGGGGCAGCCTGAATCCAGCTGAGGTTTTGGCCCCTGCAGGTTCCCCTTGGCGTCACCCTTGCTTCCCACTGAAACCCTGGTTCCCCTCTATTGGTGGCCTCTTCCCTTGGAGGAATAGCTTGAGGGGGTCCAGGTGACCAGGAAACCCTGGCTATACCCAGAGTTATGATGGTGGGGAGCATTACAGGTCCTGGCTGGCCCACAGTCCAGCCACCCTATGGGGTGCCTGACCCCCAGACCCTATATTCCCCAGCAGTTCTTTCCTGTCTTGAGTTGGTGACAGCATGTCCCCAAGCCGTGGTCAAATGTCCCAGAGACCTCAGCACAGACACAGCTGGAAACCCTGGGGAAGGGCGGCCTTTGCTGCTCCTGTCTCCATTCTCTCAAGATGTCAAATCCTGGTGCCAAAGCTGGGCAGCCGCTCTTCATTCCTCTGGCACTTTGGGAACCATGTGATTGGGCTTTAGGGTCACAGAACACATAGGCTGTG